TATGCACTCCTATGATCATTGCAGCAATATTTACAACAGCCAAGTGCCCGCAAACAGATGAGTGGATCAGAAAGATGTGGTCTATATATACCATAAAATATTACTTGGATATAAAAAAAGATAAAGTCTTGCCATTTGCAGCAATGTGGATGGAACTGGAGAGGATTGAGTTAAGAAAAATAAATCGAAAGAAGAAAGACAAATGCCAGATGGTGTCACTTATATGTATAACACAGAGAAACAAAACAAAAGCTAAGATAAAGCCAAAATAATAACCAACCCTAGAAGTCTGACTGTAGAATGGAGCCTATGGGGGGGGGGAGTGGGAAGGGCAATGACAAAGTGGGGAGGAAGCACAGTGGACTACGGTAGTGGGTGATGGGTATTTTCTTGGTGGGTGTGGTGTGGTAACACCACCTGAAGGAGGGGAATCTTATACCTCTAAAACATGTGCACCATTGTAACTAAAGTTATCTCAGAAAAAGAAAAAAATTAAGGAGATGAAATCACCACCTTGAAAAGGTATCTGCTCTCCTGTGTTCCTTGTAGCATTATTTGTAACAATTAAGACTTGGAAATAGCCTAAATACCCACATATATATTTTGCATACACACACACATCTCCCATGGTAATGGGATATTATTTAGCTGCAAAAAAATGAAGGAAATCCTGCCAGTTGCAACACTATAGTTGGAACTTGAGGGCACTATCTTAGATAAAATAAATCAAAGACAAATACTCAATGATCTCGCTAGATCTACTCTAGAAACAGAGTAGAATAATGGTTGCTGGATCTGAGAGGTGAAGGAAATGGGGAGATATTGGTGAAAGTGTACAAAGGGTATACACTTTAGGTTGTTTAAAGAATGAGTTCTGGGGATTAATTGTGCAACGTGGTGATTATACCTAACAGTACTGTATCTTAGACCTGAAGGCTTCTATGAGAGTAGTGCTTTAATGTTCTCACCAAAACAGCAGTAGGAAGTTAGCAATGTGAGGTGAAGGATATGTTAACTAAACTTAGTATATAGCAAACATTTGGCAATACATACACATATGTATCAGATCATCATGTTGTGCCCCTTAAACTTACATAATATATCAATTTTATCTCAATAAAACTGGGGGAGCTTATAGGGGGCAGCTTGCCTTTACTGCCCAAAACCCAGTGAGTGACCTTTTCAAGGCCTCATTCTTCTTGGCTTGGGCACTCTGAGTCCTGGTTCCGGAAGGTGACCTAACTAGCAAATCCTTCCTGCTGTCAGAAAGGAGGGTTGTTTTGGTGGGAAGGTGTGAGCTTAGATTGCCAGAATGGTTACTGGTTACTCATTTTGCCAAGACCCAATTAATATACAGAGAGCCGGGGAACCTCAAAAAATTTTGCCTGAGGCATGCAGTCTAGATATGATTCTGCTTCTCAGACAAATATGATTATGATTCCCACTTCATAGGTAAGAAAACCGAGGCTTAAGTTGAGAAAACTTCACTCCCGCAGACCTGAACTTTGCATATTTCTTTGACTCCAGAGCCCAAGCCATTACATGACACTGCCTTCCTTTTTCTTCCTTTTCTAGTCTCAATGTATGCTTTCTTCCCCAAATTGCTCCTAATGGTGGAGAAGCTGCATGGAGCCCTGGAGATTTCCCTGCCCTGCCTTGCATATGGTAGCTCAGTAACCATCTACACTTCATTGAAAAGCTTGAATGTGTTTCTGCAGTGAAAAGCATCCTGGAGAGATTTGCTGATCTCCAGGATTCCCCAGTTTGCTGTGTGAGTGGAGGCCTGAGGCTGAAATAGTCCCAGATACCAGGAATATCCTGGCTAGTAAATCTGAGAGCTGGATGAGAGAGACCAAGAGAAGCCAGGAGAGCCATAGCACCACACATTTATTATGGGAATAGATCTGACGCCCTGCATGGTTCCAATCCTGGAGAGTTATTCTGTAATTCAAGTTCGTTATTGACATCTATGCAAAGTAAATTATTTTTAACGATCAACTTCACCACATTGGAACAACTCTTACAAATTCTTTTTTTTTTTTAAACATTTTTATTTATTTATTAATTTTTTTTTTTAAAGATTTATTTACTTATTTAAACAAGCACTGGGTACAGTCAGAAGCGTGGGAGGGTGAGAGAATTCACCAGAGCCAGAGAGGAGAGCAGAACAGGCAGACTGACAAAGTGCACTGCTCAGGGGAGCAGCAGGTGGCAGGAGAGGTCTGCGCGCCATGTGGGACCCTCGCCTGGTGGCCGGGATGGAATCAGCGCTGCAGAGGCTGCCGGCAGCTTCGCAACCCAGCGCTCAACCGCTGCGCCACCGGGGAGGCCCCTTTTCACCAGCTTTTAAGAGCAAGCCCGTTTCAGTGAGCTCCAGCAAGGATGGGTTTTCCGTATGTGCGACTTGCCTTCTGCCTCTTTTCGCACCGTCACCAGTGTCTCTGAAGCCATTCCAGTCTGGATTCAAAACCAGGGTCTTCATGTGAGAAACAGATGAAACGAAACTCTGTTTCTCCAACTCCATTTCCTACCCACAGTAGCAGAATCAGCCTTCATCCATCCCCCACTCCCAGAGGTGTCTGAGTTCCACAGTGAGTTACAATTGTCTCCTCCCTCCTCCATGTGTCTGGCAGTTCTCTTGCCACTGCTCCTTGGTCCTTGGTCAGGCTGCTGCTCCCCGGTGAAGTGGAACAAGGGGTTTATGTTAGCTCTCTGCAGGGAGCTTAATTACATCATATAGAAAATTCAGTGATGGAAGAACTTTAATGAATTTTAATCTCAGTCTCCACTTTTCATGACCCTGACACAAGTGAACTGGATAGGTGTGTGGGGGATCAATCTAGAAGTCAAAAAACGCACAAAACCTGCTCTTTCTTTTACACAGGGCCATTTTCTTTAGAACAAATTTATATTCTCCCATTCTCTCTTCCCTTACCTTAAATTCTTTCCCAAGAGATGCTCCATCATTTCTGCAAATACTTTCTCCCCGCTGCCCTCTGAACCTACCACCCCACTAGGTGGCACAGCAGAAACAGTTGGCCCTAAAGTCCCTAATGGTATGGTGGAGTGAGACTCAGCTGGACACAGATTAAGTTTTTTTGTAAATTTATTTATTTATGCATACAAGAACTGGGGCACAGGCCAGAGGTGTAGGGGGGGGGTGAGACGATTCACCAGGGACAGAGTGGGGAACAGAACAGGCAGACTGACTGAAATACACTGCTGAGGGGAGCAGCAGGCAAAGACAGGAGAGGTCTGCTGCGCCATGTGGGTAGCTCCCTGGCTGGCTGGGGATGGAACTCGTGCTACGGAGGCTACGGGTAGTTTCATAGTGCTGTGCTTAACCCCTCTGCCACTGAGGAGGCCCAGATTAAGGTTTGAAGACAAAATCCTGCTTCTCTGCCTCATCACGCACATTTTACACACATGTATGCATAAGCACACATGTTGATTTGCCTCTTTTTTTCTATCTCCAATCACTCAGCCAGCACATTCTACTTGACACCCAGCAATCCCACCCTCCTGACCCTTTAAAGGATAGAAAATATGTTTGTACAGCATCAAATCACATTAGTATAGTCAATCCAATTGGTTTGGGTCCCATTTTGGGGCCTCTAACTCTACCATAAAAATGGGAGAGTAAGACGGCATAGGGACATACATTGGCAAGAGCTTGAGATAGATAAATGAAGAATGAGAACCAATTTGGGTTGGACTTTGAACCCATTCAATGTATCGTGTAGCTGCTCTAGAATGTATGTCAGTCACTCAAACCACTGATTGGTGGAGAACTGGTGTGTGCCAGTTATATAAGGGTAGGGGAATGGGTATGAGATTCCTGTGGCAGCTCTAATAAAACATCCTATACTTGGCTGATCAAAACAACAGAAATTGGGCCTCCCTGTGGTGCAAGGGGTTAAGCACAGCACTGTGAAGCTATCTGCAGCCTCCCACATGGCACAGCAGACCTCTCCTATCTTGCCCACTGCTCCCCTCAGCAGTGTATTTCGTCAGTCTGCCTGTTCTGTTCCCCGCTCTGTCCCTGGTGAATCCTCTCACCCCCCACACCTCTGGCCTGTACCCCAGTTCTTGTATGCTTAAATAAATAAATCTTTCAGAAAACGCCAGAAATTATTCTTTCTTGTTCTAGAAGCTACAAGCCTAAAATCAGAGTGTGAGCAGGGTCATGTCCCCCCTGAAGATGCTAGAGGATAATCTATTCTTGCCTCTTCTGGTGATGCTTGGCTGTGGTCACATTACTCTAGCCATTGCCTCCATCTTTCTGTGGTCTTCCTTGTGTGTCCTTATGTCTTCTTCTTTTCTGTCATAAGAACACTGACATTGGATTTAGGGCTTCTCCTGAATCCAGAAATATCTCAAGATCTTTAACTTAATGAAAAATAAAAATAGAAGCTACATTGACAATGTATTACATGCCCGGCACCACACATGTTGCCTAATTCTTACAACAACCCTACAAACTTGCAAATAATCTGGCACAGTTGGTGGGTGCTATGGTTCCCTTTCACAAATGGGAAAGCTGAGACTCAGGAAAATTGCCTAATGTTATAGAGCTATAAATGAATGTATTTGACCAGGTTTATACAGCATTCCCCTTGATTGTTATATCCTAGCTTCATTCATACATTCCACAAACATTTATTGAAATGCCTACTGCATGCAAAGAACCACTCTCAGTGCTGAAGATGTAACAAAGGATAAAAAATCTCTGCTTTCATGAAGTTAATATTCTAATGAGACAATAAGCATCTAAGTAAAATATATAGTGTTTTGAATGGTGATATGGCTTTGGAAAAATTAAGCAATATGTATACCTTGTCAAGCATGAAACATGTCAACTATAACAAGACATCTTTAAGATGACTGGGGAACTTGAATATGACATATGATACTGTTAGATTTTGACATATATTGACATATGATACTGTTAGATTTGATAATGATACAGTGTCTGTGTTTCTAAAATGAAAATATTTAAAGATGCAGACTAAAGTATTTATGTATAAACTAAGATTGAAAAAATATTACTAATTATTGATGCTGGATGATAGATAAAATGACGAAAGGCCTTTATGCTTTTCCATTTTTTGTATGTTTGAAATAGTCCATAGAAAAAAGACTTGGATAAGTTGGCAGATAAGATACGCAAGGATTTTTTTTTTTCTTAAGGCTGAAGAGATCCGGGAAAGCCTCACTAAGAATGTGATATTAGAGCAAAGACATGGTATGAGGGAAGAAGCTACATGGATCTCTGGGAAAGAATATTTCAGGAGATATTCCAAGAGCAAGTGCAGGGCTGGTGCTGAGGTGGGAGTATGGAAAAGAAGGAACCTATTCCAAAGAGCCTGAGCACACTAGAAAGAAATAAAAATGTGACATGTATCTTCCCCTTAAGTTTATAATATTGATGTGCTTTATTGTATCCGATACAAAAAAAACATTTTCACAATGTCATAAAATCAGTTAACTTATGGCATTGTCTTGAGACCAATTATTCAGACTTTAAAAAGGCATCTTATATTAAATGCGTAGATGTGAGCTCTTTACAAGTCAAATTAACACAGTTTTTCAAATTAGAAAAGGCCACTGAAGCATCCTACAGGCTTTAATTTCTGAGAAGGCAAAGATCAGTTGCTTATAACCCATGTAAACAAATAGCTCTTTGGGGCCCTCATTTTCCAAAACAAGAGTAAGGGATTTTGAGAGCATAAAACGAGAAAATCATTATGGGGGTATCTCCAGTCTTGTATTTAAATCCATTTCTTCCTCTGGCCTTATACACACAGAGCTGTTCTTGTGGACTTCCACGCACCTTTGCAAGTGTCTGGCTGAGCCTAGCTTGCTGTCTTTCTAGTTTGGGCAGTTGCTTTTCAGTGACTGGAGAGATTTTGAACACAGTTAACATGTGTCCCCCCTTCACATTTGGTCTTTTTTTTTTCTGTTTTCTTTTTCTCATTTTTTTTCTCTTCATTCCCCCCTCCCCCTTTTCTTTTGAAGTGATTGCTTTAAGCTTCTTACCAGCTTTTCCCAATTTAAATCCAACTTGAGGACAACCCAATCCAGGTGCAGGAAGGAGGCGTCTAAGCCATCTCTGCTGAGGATAGACCCATGCGGGGCTCCCGGCTCTTCTAGGCCAGGGATGAGGTAACTCACCCAGGTAACTTAGGTAAAGTTGGCTCAGCACATCCCAACTGGCACAGTGATGGCCTGAAAGATTCTCAGTGATGCTCAGCACAACTCCCCCAGTTCCCAGAGACCTGCCACAAAATGGGATCATCCCAATGGAATGAAATAACCATTGAGGCAGAGGCCCAGGAAATTTCCTTCCTTGTAGGAAGAACCCTGTGGAAAAGGGGTATGTGAGAGCCTAGTGGCTCACAGCAGTAGGAAAGAAGAGACTGAAAGCAAATTCCATTTGCTGGTGTCTACTCTGCAAATTATCACAAGGAGTGTTTTGCCCACAGAAACTCAAAGGCCAGAAAACTGCTCTCAGCTGCTGGCATGAATGGCAAGATTGCATACTTTGGCTTTAGCAACAAATTCACCCTTTTCAAGCCTTCTGAGGCAACCCCTTTATGTTGTCCTAAAAACTCTGCCATGGCCAAAAGTAAGACCCAAAGGGTTATGGCGTCTGGAAGTTATTCTCTATACACAGGTCAGTGGATCCCTGCCTTTTGTAAGACAGAATCTTGAAGAGTTGTGGGAGCGGGTTTTGAACAAAATATGCCATGTTCCTTTCTACAGGTTATGGAATGTGAAAATCTACCCAAGAAACTTCTGATTCTCCATTGAAATGAGAACAAATCACGCAGGATCCATGGTCGGACGCACGTTGTGAATATGAGGAATGAAGTCCTACATGGAGCCACTCTGTGCCTTAGAGAATGCCTGACAGGCTGGGTTCCTGGGTTACACACAGAGAGAGATGCAGGACTTGCTGATAGGCCAGAAATACAAGAGATAATGGCTACATATCTGCTTCTCGGTTATGAGAGATCTGAGCTGGAGGGGCACCCCATTACCCTGACACCTCATCAGCACTCCATCCCACCCCACAAGGGCACCTGCCAGCTGCAAGCAGCACAGATTCAGCAGCCTGCCAGCCACCTTTAACCGATTCCACAAGAGTCCTCAGAGGAGCAACACAGGTCCCGAGAAGGATCAGGAAATAGGGCAGAGGGGTACAACCCAGCAATGTGCCTGCCATCCCCTACTCTGCCTGCAGAGGATGAAGCCCACCCAGGCCCTCCTGTCAAAAACAACTCTTCTACCAGTACAAATCAGAGCAGTAATTCCCCACTTCCAGAGAGAGCCAACCTTGGCCAAACCTTCATGGCAAAAAGAGTGTCACCTTGCCAGGGTCTGAGCCCCACATGGCTCTTGCTCAGATACAGTCTCCCAAGCTCATGCTGCCTGCACCAGGAATCCAAGTTGACCTCAGAGCAGCCCAGTCAGGCCTCTGGGCATTGTCCCACTGAGGGTATCTGTGAGGAGCCTCTGTCCCGCACAGGCCCCCAAGGAATATCTGTGGCTTTCCATCAACCCACAAAATCAGCACATGTGGTGAAGCTCGGATGTGTCCAAAATGAATTCTGCCCACGCTTGCGGCCTGGCAATTTCTAGACCCGAGATTTTGCCCCTAATGGGAGACCCCAGTCACTTCCTATGACAGGTGACCATTGAGAACTTCTTTGGGAAATTCAAGCTCAAATCTACAGGAAGAAATATTCACTGGAGGTTTGCGAAGGAACCTGAATGAATCTGAAAGCAAAGACAGAGGGAAGACACTCCACCTGACAGCTGGGCAGTGGAGGCTGTGATTTAGAAAGTTAAAGAATTTCTAGCCTCTAAGCTGAGCTCACTACACTTCAGGTGACCCATTAAGATCACCAGCTCGGTGGAGCCCAATGACATGATACAGGAGACGCACGTGGGCACCAGGCCAACAGCTGCTTTTGCAGCCAAGCGGGATAGGGCTGTGGTGCAGGTGGCCAGTGCAGAGTGCAAAGTCTGGGTGTGCTCCCAATCCTGGCCCTGAAAAATGGATCCTGTACCTGTCACCTTTAGCAACATTGCCCCCAAAAGAAGAACTGCCAGAGCCAACAGCTGAGACACCACTTCAAACTGCAGGCTGGTACTCGGCCAGCTGCGCCAAACTGATGTCTGGGCCAGGTGTGTGTTTCTGGAGTGCTGCTCCTTTCCTTGCTCTTCTGCATTGTCTCTTCCACATCTCAGGGGAGGAGGGGGGCTGGCTCTGTAAAATAAATACAGTTTGGTGGGAACAAACAGAGGCTACTTATGCAGGGCTTGCTAGAGGGGGAGCTGGTTCTTATCCCTTGCCTTTGGCCCTGGTTGGGGCAGGCAGGGCATGGGGGAATGGGGAGCTCCCTGTGTGCTATGGGCATGGGGAAGTTGGAGACTGGTTAAGTAGAGTGGGGCATCTTATATGATTGGTTTGGGGAGCATATTTGGTTTTCCTCGTTGGTTCTGAGATAAAAGGTGAATGTAGATGTGGGGAGCGAAATTACAGGGAATTTGGCAATCTTTGACCTAGTAGGCCAATGCCTGTTGATGTACAGGAATCCAAAGTGGCCATGTAATAATTTCAGCTTCCAAGTTAATGGAGCTTCAAGTCATTGTAGAGCCACAGCTCTGGACAGTTCTCCTTCCATGGAAACTTAACATTTCGGTGAACTTTTCTAAGTCTACCCTCTATATTCTTAAGAACTACCTCTAAGTGGGCTGGACTACTGCAGTTGTCTACTTTTGTGGTCAGTGAGCGTGCAAGCATATTGTCCTGAGCCATTTATAAACTGGCTCAGTCTCTTCTTCAGCTTATGTCACATTAAACTCTCCCTGAGGACCTAGATGCAGGTTGAGAGAGATGAAACAATGTAGTAGGAGTAGGGGACATGGGAATCTTCTTCATGTGACTGATTTGTGGCTTTCAGGACCTATAGGAGTTCAATTTCATCTATGTTACTGTTATTTGATGTTGGGAGGTTCCTGTGCATGTCTAACTTTGTGTTTCATGGGTCAGATTATACCCAACTGAAGATGGGTCATTAAGTCATACAGAACTTGGTGGCCCAGGGGCAAGCCAGACACTGCTATGTAGTGAGTGGCGCCAGACACTGATCCTCAAAGGAGAACAGTAATTTGTAGTGAGTGGCATAGCTGCAAGCCAAGATCCTAAAGGTGTGTGCTGTGATTCACCTGACAAAAGTGCTACAGAGAATCCTGATTTGCCACAGACAATTCAGACCCTATCAAATCTGTAGGAAAATATAGTAGAACAGCTGCCTGCTGTTCAGCCCTGTTGCGGACTCTTCTTTTATTTGGCCCACTCAAAATTGGCAACCTTTAATGTTATTTAGAAAATGAGTCAAAGTAGCAGGCCCAGATGAGGTATATGTTGTCTCCAAACTCCTAGGGGGCTAACTAAGGCTTGGTCCTCTTTCTTAGTGGTAAGGGAGAAAATGCCATAATTTTCCTTTACACTGGAAGGTAAGGTAGAGTCAGCATGCCCCAGACACTGGCCTCTCAGGATGTCACAGAGGTAGCAGAACTCTGACTTTTAAGGGACTTATTTCCCACCCACTGGTGTCTTATCAAAGTGTTCAGAATGGTTGCAACTGCCTGCTTACCATCTAAATCAGCATAACATTGACAAGAGCATGGTGGACCGGTATTGTGAAATAAAGAAATGATCAGTCCCTGTAGGAAAAATCATGACAGAGGACTGGAGAATTCTATATGCCTGAGATTGGACAGGGAAGGTGGATTTCTGGTCTTGCCAACTGGAAGCAAATTGCTTCTGTTGGTCTATTTTTTTTTTTTTTTAACACAAGTAGATAACACAGTATTTACCAGATTCACAGATGCGTACCAAGTGGCAGGACATGTGTTGATTTGTTCCAAATTTGAAAAGACATCTGGAACTGGAGTGGCCAGCTGGTGAAAATGCTAACAATCCACATTCACCAAGATCCACCAGCCTTTTGCATGGACATAACCGAGCACTGCCTTCGGGAGGGAGAAATTGGGGTTAAAATCACATATCCAATTAAAATCGGAACAGAATTCAAACCTTTCTGTCTGACTTCAAAATCTAAGCCCACATCCCCACACCATTAGACCTCTGTGGCTCTGTAATCACATCAAGTTGCCCCCACAAGTTTGAATCTGCAGATTGGATACCAGACCGTAGTCTCACCTTTTGGTAAAGAATACATTTTAAAATTCAACCAAACATTAGACAGATGGCAAAGTAGGTACCAAAATAAGATCCAGTCCTTCTGCAATATTTGAACGATTTCTGGTGGAAATCCAAATAGTGACTTGCTTTCTAGATGGCGGTTTGCTTAGGTACCAATATTCTAACCGCCGCGGGGGGAGCGAGCCCCAGGAGCGCGGGAGGACGGAGGAGCCCAGGGCTCCTCACCACCTCTTGATGTCTTCAGGCCACGATTTCCAGCCTCAGCTGGGAAGCAGCAGAGTTTGAAGGAGCTGGGAAGCATTGAAGCCGCAGGGGAGGCTTTGCAAATGCGTTGTCTGTTTTGTCTCCTTCCTCTTCTAACAGAGTCCCTTCTTCGTAGGATATTCTTAGTCAAAATTGTTAGTTCCGATCGGATTACAATCGTGTTGTCTCTTATTCCGTATTTCCTTCTAGTCTTTTCCCACGTTTTTTCCCTCTCTTGGGTTTTGACAATATAGGTGTACGCATTACGTTGTTGGGGACTGCTGTGGGGTGGGCTTTGGACACAGGGGCTGGTTGAAGGATATGTCAGTTTAAGATGGGATTCTACAACCCAGAGAATCAGATCTGTATTGTAAGGTGATTTAGTCCCAGTTGAATAAGGTAGAACTGAAAGATGCAAGAAGTCCATAGATAATCAAGGCAAGAGGGAGCAAATATGGTAAAAGAAATCAATAGAAAATTACTAGACCAAAACACGGAGAAAAAAATTAAATATTGGGGAGGGGGGAAAGCATGACAAGAAAGAACCTGGTAAGGAGGTCATTACATGTTTAACTGGAGACCAAGAAGTAGAAGAGATCAGAGGAAGGTTGAAGCAATATTTGAAGATAATGGATGATTCCAAAACCAATAAAAGACATCAAGCCACAGACTGGAGAAACTCTATAAGCCATAAGCTGAATAAATATACAGACTAACTATTAGGTTTACCATCGGATGATTTTTCCTCCCCATGCACCATTTGATCTATATTTATCTGTCATAACATCTCTTATAATTTTATCTAAGGGCCAGACTTATAAAGTCCTCTGCTATAAGGACTAGAAATAGAAACTGCAGGGTTTATCTAGTTTTACCCAGGCTCTTGCTTTCCCCTTCATTGCATTTTAAGAAATTCCTATGAATCCCTTTGACCTCATTGTACACACAGAAAAGGTGTGACCAGAATTTATTTGAAATCCAAGTATATTAATCTCAGGGGAATTAGTCAATTGACCAAACATTACTGTACGTTCTATGGGTCAGGCTTTGAATAGTGGGACACAGACACATATGCTGTGCTGTGTAAGTACCCAATTTAACAAAATTTATTTGGGCACTGAATCCTGTGTCCTACTTTTTGACCATAAGCAGTTGGCTGTCTCAGTGGAAGATCACTTCTTGAATTGGCAAATTTGCTTTGGCAAACATTTCTTTATTACAGTTACAGTCCCTTCCTAGACTTACCTAGATCCATAGACAATGTTTTTTATGAGTCTCATAATGTTTAATACGACCCTAAACTTTCAATAGATATTGACTTGCAGGACACTTTTTTTTTTAATGTAAAAGAAAAATAATTCAAGTTAAAGTCCTCAAGAGCAAAAGTATTTTTTCTCTAGTTCTTGCTTCATGTAGTTTAAGGCTACTTACATCCTATTATAAAATGTTTTTTTTTTTTCACAAAAGGATGTGTTTACTAATTTCATATTTTGTTAGAAGTTATCAAACTAAATTTATGCTTCTCAAGCAACTTTTGTTTGGTCATAATTTTCTGTGCATTTTTATTTATTGCCTTTGCATGGTAGACTCAGCAGGGCTAGAGGACAAGAATAACTTCTACCATGGTACATAGGAAGAATCTTAGAGATCTAGTTGTTTTTCTGACCATAAAACCAACTGAAGAGCCAAGAAGGTTAAACTTAAATCTCTAGTTATTTATTTTTTTTAAAAGATTTATTTATTTATGCATACAAGAGCTGGGGTACATGCCAGAGGTTGGGGAGAGGGGTTTGAGAGGATTCACCAGAGACAGAATGGGAAACAGAACAGGTAGATTGACTGAAGTACACTGCTGAGGGGAGCAGCGGGCAAGTCAGGAGAGGTCTGCTGCCATGTGGGTTGCTCCCTGGCCAGCTGGGGATCGAACTTGTGCTACAGAGGCTGCCGACAACTTCATAGGCTGTGTCTTAACCCCTTGCACCACCAGGGAGGCCCTAATATCTGTAGTTATTTGGTAGCAATTCACCAAAGGATCTTTGGTACAGTTGCCCACAAAATGGAACATTTTATAAGTAGAGCTCAGTATGAATAACACAACCTCCTACTGTTTTTATGGATTTTCTTTAGTTTAAAGTTGTTAGACTATTTTGGCACATCTCAAATCAAAGTCATCCTTCCCGGATATAAAAAACTTAATAAGCTTTTGTCATGGCTTAAGAGTTTAAAAGAAAAGAGCCAGGCCTATGATAAGTGATGGACAGGTGGGAGAAATGGAGAAAAAGGATGAGGAAGTGGAAATATCAGGCAGAATCTTTCCTAAACCAATGCTCCTCAAGCAACTCATAGGAAAAGTGACCATGTCAATGAATTTAAGGAAGAAAGGTCACAGCTGGGCTTAATTTCAGTCCTCACACTGTTGCTAGAAGGGAGGACTCAATTCTGAACTTTCTACTCAGGTTCAGCTTCTTCTCCTTCATCAGTGATTTTCTCCACCTTTGGTTCCAGTAGATAAGTGTAATTGCATCTTGCTCTCCTATGTGTCTGCTCCCTGACCACCTACTAGGGAAATGCTCTTTTATATTTGACTACACAACCACATTCCCCGCCAGAGAAGGGCATATTAGTTGTTCCTTCCTTAAACTGTGTGAGGGAGGACCCCTGAAACAATTTTCAAGCTACAAGGTCACAGTTCTTTGAAGGCAGAAAATCAAAATAAGGTCACCAGCCCACAAGTGAGATTAACTGAGATTGGTCCCAGCCAGCAGGGGGCCCAGACTAGGACATCTCACATTCATGAATCACAGCCGGATCTCAGACCTTTCTTGTCGCATGGGATAGTTCTCTGAGGGAGACTCAAAGGTGGTGGAAGACGGGCCTCCTCTGGTGGCGCAGTGGTTGAGTGCTGAGCTGCAAAGCTGCCCGCAGCCTCTGCAGTGCCAGTTTGATCCCTGGCCACCTGGCGAGGGTCCCACATGGCGCGCAGACCTCTCCTGCTCCCCTCAGCAGTGTATTTCGTCAGTCTGCCTGTTCTGCTCCCTGCTCTGGCTCTGGTGAATTCTCTCACCCTCCTGCACTTCTGACTGTACCCAGTGCTTGTAGAAATAGATAAATCTTAAAAAAAAAAAAAAAAAAAAAAAAAGGTGGTGGAAGACAATTAGGAGGAAGAGAAGGAAAAGTACAATCCAAATTGGTGCAGATACCCTGAGCTCTATCTCACAGGGATGAGGAGTTCCAGGAAGGAAAGGGGGGGTGGGGAGAAATCCATGAAGACTGGCTGGACTCTCTTGTGGCCCCTTCCCTTTATTGTGCCTCAGCTGCCAACGGTCACTCAGTCACTTGTTAGTATCTTTTAATGTGACTTCAATAGCTGCAACTATTCTTCTTGGCCTGGTCATCTTATACTGCCCATGAGTGAGAGTTAAAGAAGAAAGGACCCTGGACAAGGGTTCCTTAGGCTTTCTGTTAATATGAGCAGAATTGGGAATTGTGAATGCAGTTGGCTGCAATAATATGACTATCTTTAATGTATAAATGACAACCTGAATTGGGATCTTGTAAAACATGCTTCTCAAATGTCCTCATAAGAGTCACCTGAGACTCTCATTCACATAAAGATTGTGATTCAGTCTGGGGTGAGGCCTGAACATCTGCACTTCTTGCACGCTCCCTGGTGATGCCAAGAGTGCTCCATGGACAATGTCAAGATTATAAAGGCTGGGATGGTCTGATAATATCAGCAACATGGAGAAACAAAACTCTCAAAGTGCACTTGGAAAAGCTGAGATTGCACTGCCCTTTGCTCATGGCAGGGTCATTTGGAACCTGAGACGACGGGGACATAGACACCAGGAAAGAGAGTCTCCCACCGGCGCTGAATGGAGAAGAAAGGGGCAAAGAGAAGAGCTTGTGAACAGACTTCTGCGCTGGACTGAGATCTCTGGTGACCTGAGATCTCAAACCTGAAACCCTGTGCTGTGGAATGACTGCTTCCTCTCCCACAGGAGGGCTTGCGTGGGCCAGGTAGTGTGTCCTGAAGTTTCGTTTGGGAAAACTCCATCCAATGATGTGTAAGAAATGAGAGGAAGCAACTGCCTCCTTGCCCATGGAGATGCCAAGGGTATGTGAATCCTCAGCACCAGTCACATAAAACAAAAACAGCCTTTCCTTTGACCACATCTGATTCTAGTTGGAGAAGCCAGAGGCAGGATTGGGGCTTGGTGTGTAGGGAAAGAACAGAACCCCTCATCTTCCTTTCAGAGACTGGACTCCCTCTCAAGGCAGGTCTGAGATGGAGAAGCGGAACAAGCTTGAGTTGAGAATTGAAATTGGAATTGGACTGGTCAGGGCAAGGGATGAGCCCAAGGGATTTTAAGGGATTGGGAGGGATTTTAAAAAGTAGCGAATTGGAGCACAGAAACAGGAGAGAAAGAATGTTGTTTCCCATTGTACCCCAATAAATTCTGCCGATTCAGTGTGAACTAGCATGGGATGCACAGGTTTGAACAAGGAAGAATGAGAATAGATGGGAAAGGTAATAATGGGTGGGGAAAGTTGAGGTCTTGTCTGCTTTGAACTGAAGAAAAACATCAAGTGATTTTTCTCTCTCTGGTGGTCGAGAGCCAGCTTTCTCCCTGCCCTCATGGAACTAAGGGATTGCCTTTTCTTTCTGATAACTTAGGCTGATGTTTACACAGGAAAGGGAAAGTGTTGCAGGAGATTGTTGGATGGTAAGGAGAAATTCTGGGAAGTTGTCTAAATAAATGAGGAACAATCAGTAGGTACAAGCATAAAGATATAGAGCATCTCTGTAGCCCTTGCTGCCCCTGCTAGTTAGTTCCATCTGTCATTGCTTTCTTAATTATGTCTAAATCTGTGTCTTCTACAAACATGTAAATAAATTCTTCAGTACCTGGAAAAGCTAATCTT